AGTGCTTTGTCCCCTCCTTTCCTTACCAGTCTTTCAGCTCTTTCTGTAGTCTGTCTTTCTGTACCTCGTCTCTAGGCTGAAGTGATTAAGTCACAGGAAGTGAATAGGATTAGCACCCTTAAAAGAGAGGCTAAAGGGTGCTTCTGTCCCTTCAGCTTAAACTTCCTAGCTTTCAAAAACCATAAATACTTTTCTATTATTCATAAACATCCAGTCTAGGGGATTTTGTCAGAGCAGCCTGAAAGGACCCAGGTGCCTGACACGTCTATCCTTTGAGTTACTCATCTCAAACCCATACTTCCCACCCCACCCTGGCTCTGGCTATTCTGCTTCTTTACTTCTCTCTGCACAAAGCTTTATCATTTGTTTGTAAGCATGGTCACACTCAAGGCACCACCCGCTTTCCCCTTCTCCTCAATCCCTGCCACACAGTTTACACAGCTAACACTTCAGTTATATCTGCTGCCTCAACTCCCTCATGAGTCATTTTGTCACTCATTCTTTATCTTAGCTACTACAGCTATCCGTCTAGCATCTAGAACAAAGCTTGGCACTAAGATGGTTCAATAAAGATTGACTGATGAAATGAACCAACCTTTTACAATGTGACTGCCATCACCATTATTCTATTGAGAAGACTTGTTGACCTTAAAACCTCCAAATCCAATTTTCTCATGTCTACATTCAACTGTTGTCCTCTTAGTTGACATATTTCCTTTAATGGCTCTTTTATGACATTCCCCTTGCATCTCTTTCTTCCTTCTGCTGCTTGCTAAATGAGGATTATCACTCTACTATTCAAGCTCTGCACTTGGTCATCTGCTCCTCTGTCCTCTCTCTACATTTAATACAAATTCTTTTCTCCAACCATGGTCTCTCTACACAAGGCTCTACCTGTCTCTTTGATCCGGTCTCCTGCCTGAGTTCTTGCCCCATCTCTCCAATGTGCCTTCCAATTACCCCACCCAAACACCTGGCGGGACTCCTGGCTGAAAGCTTCTGCCTCTGGAGCCAGCACCCTCCTCCTCCTGGGTGGCAAGGAGCCAAGTCTAGTGTCATCTCCCTGAATTCTGCCTCAGCTACTCTATTCCCACTTCCTGGCCTTCTCCCTTATTCCTTCTGGCTGGGATTACACTGCCCCCCGACAGATCAGCCTTCCCAAAACCCTGCTGTCTTTCCCTTGCTCATAAAACAAAAATTCAAAGACAACAAAGTCTAAACCTCTTGGCCAGTGCTGCTGTCTGAATGTGTCCTTCCAAAACAAAACCAAATTCCCACTGCTGTAGTAATAAAAGATGGGACCTTTGGGGAACAGATTAAATCATAGGAAATGAATAGAATTAGCATCCTTATAAAGGAGGCTGAAGGGCGCTACCTCTCTACTCTGTCCCTCCAGTCCTGTGAGGCACTGAACCTGCACTTCTTGATTTTGGACTTCCTAGTCTCCAAAAAACATGAGAAATAAATTTCTATTATTTACAAACTACCAAGACTAAAGGATTTTCTTATGGCAGCCTGAATGGACCAAGATGCCAGACACTCAAGACCTCACACATCTGTCCTACAGCACATGTAATCTTATTTCCTGTTGTTGCTCTTCATCTAACCTATGCCAGAGTTAAACTATACTCTATTTCTCAAAGTAATTTATTACTATTTTTTTTTAGAGAAATCATACTATAATTGCCAGTAGCTGAAGAAACTAGGGGATAATACAAATAGCAAAGAATCTTATGTTATCTGACCCTGGGAACTCATTAAGCAATGCATAGCAACAAAAATGGGTAGTCCTGAGGCTCAGCCACCTACTGAACCACTGCTTATTGAGACTCTACCACAAGCCAGGTGTGGTTCTAGGCACCTGAAGGACAGTGGCAGATAAGACACACAAGGTTGCTTCACATGGGTCCCTTATATTCTAGTGGGATGAAACAACTACTCAGGAAATAAAATTGAAGAATCTCAGATTCTGATACATGCTAAGACAGAAACAGCCCAACAAAATAGAATGCGGCTGTGGAGTGGAGTATCGTGGGGAAGATACTATGCAAAGCCTCTCCTGGGAGGTGAGACTCAAGCTCAGACTGAGGGTGAAGAGGAGTCAGTTTTGAGAAAGGCCAGGTTAGCAGCCAGGGGAAGCCTCTAGGATGGCACAGCCACAGGACGTCTGCTACCTGAGGATGAGCAGGACGCATCTGATAGGCAAGATAGGCAAGGCAGAGGGCGTTCATGGCCTGGTGACAGTTTGCAGGAGGAAGTCTCTAAGGAGTTTCAAGTAGGACTGACATGCTGAACAGAAAACCTGCAGGGGGTGTGAGGTGAGAGTTCTCAAACAGTACTTCTTCTAGATGAAAATCGCTGATCATGCGGGTCTCCTAATGTAGTAAATTCACTCTTTTAAAAAAATGTATTGCCTTAATTCATGGTGTAAGCAACTGCTCTGTGTTCAGCAGAAACATCTGAATATAGCTACAGCCCTGGCATGAAGGCTGCCGTTGTTCAAGTGGCTCTTTCACTCAAAGATACCCTGATATTGACAGAAGGCTTAGTGTGCATAAGACATCGTGCAGGAACAACGAACGAGACAGGACCCTGCTGTCATGGCCTTGAAACAGACAAAGAAATAATGACACCTTTGAGGAACATCACTACAACTAAAAGGACAGGGTGCTGTGGGGTCTGCAGCATGATGCTTCCTCTCAGACAAAAGCACAGGCAGAGTGGCCAGGTGGTGAGTGGGGAGAAGTGTGCCTACAGAGGGAACAGCATGGTGCAAGTGGAGGAAAGTGAGCTCCGGCACAACTGAGGAGCACAGGATGAGGACTGGCAGGGTTAGAGAAGGAGGGGATATTGACAGCTAGTCCTGCAGAGGATGAGGGCCAGCTTGTGGAGGTCCCTTTAAATCACAAGAGACTCTGACGTGGCTGCCAAGGGAAGAGTGGCCCAGGAGGGAAGGTGAGAGGGAGGGGCTGGGACAGAGTGGTGGGTGGCGGAGAAACAAGGTATAGACACTGAGTTATCTAGGAGGTAAAATGCAAAGGTGAGTCAGGATGACCTGGCCTGTGGCTGGAGCTGCGCATGATGGGGCCGTGACCCAGAAGGAAGAGGAGCTGTCTGTGTGGGGGAATGCCCCGAGGGCTGGACATGATGGTAGTGAGTGCTGGACTGTCAACAGGTGTGTGAGTGAGCAACGGGGTCTATACAGGCCGCTTTCTAGGATCCACCATTTATAAAGACAGTACTTAAGGGGCTGGGGAGGTGGCTCAGTGGAAGAGTGTTCATCTTGCATGTGTGAGGCACTGGGTTTGATCCTCAGCACCATATAAAAATAAATAAAATAAAGGTACTGTGTCCACCTATGACTACAAAAATAGTAAAGAAAAAAAAGAAAAGAAAAAAAAAAGACAATACTTAAAGCTGTAGGAGTGACTGGAATGGCCTGAGGATTGGTGGGATAAGAGGAGGGACCAGCAGAGCTGGAAAAATATCCACCAAGAACAAGTCTTAGTAAGACTCCTTTTCTCCATGCTACCATAGCACCTGGAAATAGTTCTTCAAAATCTAATCTTGGTGTCATTATTTGTCTGCCTTCTTTAACTGGCTTCCAAGCTTAGAAGGAAGGGATGTATCTTCCTTATCTACTCCTAAATAGCAGTCCTGAGAGCTCAGTGCCAGTCACACAGTAGCCCCTCAAAGAGTTTGCAGGATGCTTGAACAAACAAGAGGACGGTATGCTTACTTGCCCAAGAAGATGTTATCAAAGATATATTTAAATCTCACAACTCAACAACAACAAAATAACTTGATTTAAAAATGGCAAAAGATCTAGGCACAGTGGTGCATGCCCTATAATCCCAGCAGCTTGGGAGGCTGAGGCAGGAGGACCACAAGTTCAAAGTCAGCCTCAGCAACTCTGTGAGACCCTAAGCAACTCAGCGAAATCCTAGCTCTAAAAATATACAAAAAAGGGCTGTGGATGTGGCAGTGGTTAAATACCCCGAGTTCAATCTCTAGTACCAAAAAAAAAAAAGGTAAAAGACTTAACCAGACGTTTCTCTAAAGACATACAAATGCCCAGTGAGTATGTGAAAAAAGACACTCAACATCACTAGTCACCAGAGAAACACAAAACAAAACCACAGTGAGATGTCACCTCACACCTGAAGGGATGGCTGCCATCAAAGACCCCAGAAAATGAACGTGCTATATTCATGGAGTTGAGTGTTACTCAGCCTTAAAAAGGAAGGAACTCTGATATATGCCACTGTACAGAGGAACCTTGAGGACACCATGTGAAGCAGAATAAGCCACAAAAGGTACGTCATGCACGAGTCCACTTAAGACAAACACGTAGGCCACACTCAGACACAGAAAGACACAGCAGTTGCCATGGGCTGGGGAAATGTCCGCCTCCACCTGCCAGGACAGGAGGGCATCGCACTGCTGGGGACTCCAGGGGAGAAGGCCCAGGACAACGACCCTTGATTTGTAGTGCTGAAACAGAGGCTCTCCCCACATTCTCTCTTTGCTTCAGCAGAGCAGTTTAAGCCAAAGCCCTGACGCCTAGATCGACTTGAGGGCTGCCTCCGTCTCTGATTATTTCCCATGTATGTGAGAGGTGTACGTGCATCAGACTTCTGTGTATTTCTCCTGTTATTTCTGTCTTTTGTTAGGAAGTCCCAACAAGAAGTCATAAAGATGATTTTTACTCTAAGTGAATAAATGAAGATTCGGCCTTCACGCCAGAGTGCTGTTCCGCACTAGCTCCCTCTGATTATTTACTACTCATTCATTTGACTGGATAATACAATAAGGCATTCTGGTTAAGAGGAAAAAACTGTTCTCTCCCCTATTAATCCTAGTTTATACAACAAATTCAATTAAAGTAAAAAATGACTGAAATACAATTTGTCAAAGATAACCGAAGTGAGTATAATAAACTCATGAATGTTTACCAGACTGGGTATACTGACACAGTGACTTTTCTTTAATATCATTACCTGAACAAGCGTGTCCAGTGTGAAGATGTGCTCCCCTCGAACATTGTAGAACTTGACCATGGCACTCTTCAGAAGGGGACCATTGGGGAGCTCGCTGAGTTGGGTCTGCCGCTCCATCCCAGCAACTGCCAGCAAGTCTCCCTGTGTGCACCACTGAGCTACCACCTCTGAAACCATACAGAAGAGACACTCAGCATGAGGATGCAACCCTCCTCAACTGCCAGTCAGCCATACTGGCATGCGTCTTCAGTAGTTTAAAACATAGAGATGCTAACCAAATATACAAGCAGACCTCCCCTTTCACGAAGATAACAACCCATTTCTTTTATTTTAACTAGGTATATATGACAGCAGAATGCATTTTGATTCATTGTACACAATTGCAGCACTTTTCATTTCTCTGGTTATACACAATGTAGCATCGCACCTCATGTGCATTCACACATGTACTTAGGATAATGATGTCCGTCTCATTCCACCATCTTTCCTGCCCCCATGCCCCCTCCCCAACAATCCTCTCTTTTAAGACTTATTATAAACAAGCTGTTACATGGTTGGAGATTACAGTTTCTCTAAAACATATCTAGATCAGGTAGAAATCCTGATATAAGAAGGTTGGCATTTTAAGGTGGGTGTGGTGGAGCAGCTGCTTGGGAGCCTGAGACAGGAAGATCACAAATTTGGAGGCTAGGCTGGGGAACTTAGTGAGACCTTATTGAGGGGGGGGGGAGGAGAAGAAGAAGAAATAAGAGGAGGAGGAGGAGGAGAAAATGATGATGATGATGGTGATGAGGAAGAGGAGAAGAAGAAGAGAAGGAAGAGGAAGAGGTAGAGGAGAAGTAGTAGTAGTAGTAGTATTAAGAAGAGAAGGAAACAGAGGAGAGGGAGGGAGAAGAATAAGAAAAAGAAGAACCGTTTAACTATCTCTAAGCATTTCCATAATCTATCTACACCAGCATTTCCACACTGAGACTGTGGAACATTTCTGCTAAGCAAGTTAAGTGATAAAACCTGTGACCCTATACATGTCACATCAGTGCTTCCCACTGCTCTGCCCTCCACTCCCAGAGAAGACGCCGAGTTTGTACATGCTCAAAGTAAAAAGTTAAGTCAAGGAAGCCTGCGTTTACTCATTTGATACCTGGGTAACACTAGGCAAGTAAATCTCTGATGAAGGATACACACACACAAGGGTACTGACTTCTATTAGAAAAGAAGATCAGCAGTCTTGCTGGGGGGCAGGTAGTACTGTCAGAGAAATTTTCACACTGGAGATGCCAACACCCATCTATAAGCCATTATTTATCTAACAAGTAGCTGTTAAATGGTTTGTCTTATCCCAGTGTGAGCAATTACCTAGTTCTTGCTGGCGAACAGATCTATAAGTACCAACAAGATTTATAGCATTTTTTCTCTCTTAGAACCACAGAACCATAATCTGGCTTATACTAAGAGCTCTGAAATCTATATCTAAGTAGCCCATTTTGCAGAGAAGCTGAACTGAATTAAAAGAAGGTGCCCTGGCCAGAATAGGCACGTATTCCAATGCCAGGGCTATAGTGCAGCAGCTTCTAAGCGCCTCTAGTCACATGACCATAACATCCCTCTAGTTCACCCTTGGAAAGAGTTTCAGTGCTAATTCCAGTGCATGCTGAAGTCACTGATGCTCTTGTACAATGGCCTTGAAAGTGAGCACACTCCATGAAGCAAGACACCTCATCAGGTTTGCTGCAGCAGAAACCAGGAGACAGAATGCTGAGCTGCAGCAGTTATAGACAAACACAAATCAATCCCAAATAGTGACAATACCAATAAAGGATTTTTTGTATGAATAAAGTTAGACACAAACCAGAAAACAAAAAATAAAAAGAATCAAGTAAATATCCTGGTAAATAAAATTTTTAAGATGTCAGAAAATGGAGGTTAGAGGATTTGTGCCTCTTCTAAAATGTGTTCTGAATATTCACTGCCAAGTCTAGGTCTAGAGAAAATCCTGGTAGGGATCATGAATGAAATAATCTTCAGTGAATGGCAGTGTTAAGTAGGTACGCAAGAACACCAAAAGGAGAAGCAGCTAACAGTCAAAGTGCTAACAAGACAGAGTCTATGGACTCCTGGGCAGAAACATCACTGTAATATGGTAGGTAATAAAGATGCCAGCACTGTGGTTGCAGTGGCACATGCCTGTAATCCCAGCGGCCTAGGAGGCTGAAGGAGGATTGCAAGTTCAAAGCCAGCCTCAGCAACTTAACGAGGCCCTAAGCAACTCAGCAAGACCCTGTCTCAAAATAAAAAATAAAAAGGGGTCATTTTCTGCCCCCAAAATGAGCCTTGCCAGGTGCTTCACCGATTGACTTCTCTGCTGAATACCAAATAAAGAAAAGCCTGCTGGAAAAAAAAAAATAATAAAAGAGTGGGCTGAGGATGTTGCTCAGTGGTTAAACCCCTGGATTCAATCCCCAGTTCCCATCCCCCACAAAAAAACACAGATGGTAACACTAAATTCCATGGCTCCTCATCTGACCTGTATTGATGAGTGAAAACTGTACCATTCTTTAATTTTTTAAAAAGATTCTTTGAATTTTGTCACAAAATGGTTTTGAAAGTAAGAAGCAGGCTGCTTGCTGCCCTTATAGTGCTGGCCTGGACACAGATGCCTTCAGAGACTGCTCACAGCAGAGGCCAGCACACACGGAGCTTTTCTGCTGGAGGTGAGAATGAGTCCAAATATGTCTGAGCACACCCTCAGGGATTTCTTGAATTCAGTTGCAAAGTCACACTGACAGTTGTCATCTGCAAAGCAAGTCACTCTTTTGCAAAGAAGAAACTCCATATGAAAACTGCCACTTCATGTTCTGGCGGTTACAGGACGTGCAGCATCAAGGGATGCAGATGTGGGCTCCTCTGATGCTCAGAAGACCAGTCCTGGTCCACATGGTGGGCACACCAGCTGCCAGGGAAATGGGCTATTTCATAAATCCTTGACACCAAGAATTCAGGAATTAAGAAGGAATATCCTGGAATTGTCCAGAGTCAGTCAGGAGTACCGAGTCCTCAGCAGGGGCTGAGTTTCTGGGTTTGGAGTTTAAAATTGTCATAAAAACAACAAATTGAAAGTAAAACTGAAAGTAAAAGCAAATGTTCATTCAATTCCCAGATATCACTATGATGAAGAATACAGAAGCCCAGATGATTGGGTCAGAATCTTTCTGTTTCAGAAATGTTCTATAAACCATGTCTATCATATTTTAAAAAACAATCTCCAATATCCTTGCCCAAGGTTTCTGTAATAACTTTATCTTATTCTTTAAATCCCTAAAGATTGTATTTAAAATAAAACTTAGGAGGAACAAATGAATATTACATTCAGTAGCCTTCTTTTGACTCTCCCTGAAACTCCTGGCCAAGAGTTTCTAATGTTCCCCATTCAGAGAACTGGAAGTTCAGAAGCATCCAGGTGATCCATCTTCCAAACACATTTATTTTCTCAATGATTTGGGGCTAAGACATGGGGGACATTTTGGCCTCTTAAGTGTTTGCAAAGAAAATCAGTAGACTGGTCTGGGGTTGTGGCTCAGTGGTAGAGCATTTGCCTAGCATGTGTGAGGCCCTGGGTTCAAGTGTCAGCACCCGCATATTACTAAATGAGTAAAATAAAGGTCCATCAAAAACTAAAATTAAAAAAAAAAGAAAAGAAAATCAGGGCTGGGGTTATAGCTCAGTTGGTAGAGCGTTTGCCTTGCATGTGTGAGGCACTGGGTTCGATCCTCAGCACCATATAAAAACAAATAAATAAAGGCATTGTGTCCACCTACCACTAAAAAAATATGAAAAGAAAAAGAAAACTAGCAGATTTACACTGTTCAACTTAAACCAGACAATCTTATGGATCTTTCTTGGTAAAAGCTGGGGGTCAAATTTTCATCTAAAGTTAGCAGTTAGAATTGGTTCTTTCATGTTAACAAGAAACCTCTTTTGTGGGATTAGTGCTGGGTTCAAAGGAGGCAGCTAGGTTTTAGCAGGAAAAGAGTGGTCTCTTAACAAACACCACATACACTGCAGCTGCCTGGTGGCTGCCTGAGGTTAACCCAGCCCTCTGTCCCTTAGGTTTCCATAGTAACGAGTCACCTTTCTGTTAGTTGACTCTTGTTTTGGGGCACATGCAAGTGCACGTGGTGCGAGAGTGAGAGGAAGGAGACAACAGCAGGTGATTCTTCTTTAGAAAGGCCATTTTCAGTGAGTATAGTAAGGACTGGAAAAAAAGTGTCCATATCCAGTGAGGACCAAACTGACCCCTGTCCATTCCCTCAGAATGAGTGACGAAAGGCTAAGAGGAAGAAATTCTGCAAAACAAAGCCTGGGGTGGAGGCCTTTTATTTCATGGCACACAGGGATGAAAGAAGTGCCTTTGAAAGCTGCTTTCAGTACTGAGGTACCCAGCTCCTCAGGGAATACCTGAACTCATGACTGAATCACTCTTCCTCAAGAAAAAGTAAAAGTCATAGAGGGTAAAGTCCGAGGGAATGAACCAACTCAATGCTTACTGTGTCCCCAGCTGGGTTCCTCCCCTGGTGGAACTTCCTGGGCAGTAGCTACAAAGCAACATCAGACCTTACTTCCTCCCCAACCCCAGAAATCTGCAGCGAAAACCAAGGGTGGCAGGTGGTGCGGAAGAGGGCTGGTGACAGGGACAAGGGATGACCTGGAATCCTAACTCTTCTGCACATGACATAAATTACAGCACTGGTGGTAAGTCAAAGAAAGGGCATGTGAGTCACCTTTCTCCCCTTGAAAAGTTGTCTAAGTTAGTTACAGAGAAAGACCCAGGGGAATCAGAGACTTTAGGGACAGGTGACAGACCTGTCTGTGATAGGGTAGATGACTGTGGCCAACTGCTCTTTTCTTCCCAGTACTAATAGTGGACAAAACATAAATTTAAAAAATAAAAAATACTGCTGTTCAGGCTACATGTAAGATCAAGTCTAAAATATTCTGATACCAAGACAGAAAAGAGAAATCATCTCCATGAGGTACATCCTGGCTGGCACCAGTTCACTTCAATTTCATTCATCTTTCTGAAATTAGGAAGACATAGTACAACGGCATCTCCCCTCCAGGAAGGTGTAAATAATTGAAAACATTTTAGACTATATTAAGATTTCTAGTTAGGCAATGACTACAATGCTGAATTTGTCTGAGTTTTTAGAACATGATTCAGGTAAAAAATCTTCACTTTAGTGAGGGCCTCTTTAAATCACTTCCTCAAATCACCAACTCCTCCTCTTACTCAGCACCATTGATGGGGCTGTGTCAGAAATGCTGCTACAGCACAACATGACTTGATAGGAATAATATAAGTCAACAGACTCAAAAAGCAAAAAAATAGTTTCCATAAGCAAGATGGTAAAAAAGAGTAAAAAATTCATCTTGTGAAGAAGAAAGAGGAACTGAGTGGTAATTATATTATTTTCAGTCATGACCAGATATTTCATAGAGAGCAAATTCAGAATTCCAACAGTAGTGGCAGATTTTTAAGAAAAAAATAACTTGGTTAAGAAATTTGAAAATGTAATTTGTGAAGAAAAATAGAGATTAGATTACTAACTATATGGGGGAGCTTATGATGACCAAACATATTATTTAGATCCATGAAAGACAGAACATTCAAAAAACAATTTACTGAAAAGCAAAGGAATTTAAGTTCATCATCAGCATGAAAATATTTACTTAGCTCATAATGAGGCCTATCTGTGTGGTATAAAGGAGGGCTTCTCCATACTTCATGTCGCACAGGACTTTATAGGCTAAATAATTCCTTATAAATCTAGTTCTGAAACAGCAGAAGGGGATACCTAAGAAGGAGTATAATCTGCTTCTAAAAATATTCTATATTTTTGAAATAGAATTAAGTAAGGCTTGGGGGTATTAGAGATGTATGATATATTTCGGTCAACCATCAGTGACATATATAGACCTGATTCCTGAAGAATTCACACAAGCAGCAGCAGCAGCACAGGACAGTAACTCTCTAGACTGACATCCAATTTTGAATTTTGGCAGTTAACTAGGTTGCAGTCAAGTTCCTGGCTGGCTTCTCACCTCCCTATTCAGGTTACAGTAGGTCCTTTGAAAATATCAGCCAGAGGCAATCCAGGAATTGAATTTCTTTCTTTCTTTTTCTTTTTTTTGGTGGGGGAGGGTACTGAGGATTGAACTCAGGGGCATTCAGCAACTGAGCCACATCCCCAGCCCTATTTTGTATTTTATTTAGAGACAGGGTCTCACTGAGTTGCTTAGGGCCTTGCTGTTGCTGAGGCTGACTTTGAACTCGAAATCCTCCTGCTTCAGCCTCCCACAAGTATGCATCACCACGCCCAGCCAGGAACTGAATTTTTAAATCTTTCTACACTACACCATTCAATCCTCAAGAAACAGACTGTTTTTCCAAAGAACTCACTAGGGCCACAACATCAGTTAATATTCTGGAATTGAAAAATTTAGAGCACTTCCAATGCCTATGGCCACTGATTTTCTATCCAGAAGGCAGCAGCGCTTGATGGCTGCCCTTCACATCCACGCCTCCATCTGGCTGTTGCAGAACCTCCACAAGTCTTTCAAGGTAGCATTACTGCACAATGATTGGTACCTTAATAAGCCTGTCAGATTCTTAAAATTACAGAGCTTCTGTGTAAATGATGACTGTACAACATCTGCTGCCTCAAGAATGGGAGGTGCTAGTATCCGTTTACTGTGCAGACAGCGTGAACCAGATGCAAACACACATACACCTGGGAGGGTCATTCTTGTCAGAGTGAGGAAGGGAGTAGGGTAGGACAAAGACTGATGGGAATCCCTCTTCAAGATAAGACCAGCTATGGAGTTGTCAGGTAAGCAGAGGAGAGCTAGGGGAGTGACCTGTGTTAACAGACTCCATTAAGCACAGAAGAAGTCACTGCAGAGGACAGGAATCAATAAGTACCAGGTGTGTGACATCAGCCCAGAAGGCATTCGTGCACAGGGCTGCGGGGATGGGGCATGGCAGCGTTTTGTACCTTTCAGCCCTGAGCGGATGACAGTGGGAGACAAGTCATCGTAGTTGTTCATTAAGCTGATGTCTCCCGAGGTGAAGCTGACGGTGAGCAGAGGCTTGATGTTCTGCACTGGGATGGGGTACGCTGCAGGACCATCTGTGGAAACACAAGTGCCAAGTGAGAAGCAGGCAACAAGGCTGTGCTCTTGCGTGGTGCCCTAAAAACTGCCCAGTGATGCAGCTCTCACTCTGGACTGGGATGTCACCAAATGAGGCAGTCACTGCACCACTCAGGAGCCACACAAGTCATCAGTAGAGCACTAGCAGAAGACCTCAGAATGAGGAGAAGGACATGGAATATGCAACCCAAGGCAACTGCAGGGTGGTGAAAATATGTGTGAAGTTTATTAACTTGTATATTAATGTGTCATGCAAATTAATAAATGCAAATTATTTTAATGCTATACAACATACAAGAATAGTGGGAAGGAGGATAAAAACATTTTCTTAACTTGGGTCCAAAACATCAAAAAAAGCTCTTTTCAATAATAAATGCTCTTTCATTGAATGTTAAAGGCAATAAGCAACCACAGTAGTCACAATCAGTTCTTTCCCACTTAAGTTTTTCCCATAAGAGACTGAAAATCTGGAAAGAAGGCTGAAGTTCCATGTGCTATATACGCAGCTCCTGGCCACCATAAAGAAAATCCTGCTTTGCACATTCCAGGAGTGCTTGTATGTGAGGGGCTATGGACTGGGTCTTCCACGTGTTATTTGAGAAAGTGAAAGTCCCTCTACATACCTGGATGAGGCAGGGCTCTTTCAGAAAGTGTCATGGCCATATGAGCTCAACTCCAGCAGCCATCCAGGGTGGCCTGCCTGATATCCACCTGACTTAATGTCTTCATGCTAAGACACTGCACTATACCTACCTCTGCACTCCAATTCTCTAAGCCACCAAGAATATTGTTATATCTGAAATGCAAATACCTGTCATCCCCTAAAGTGCTCCCTGCTTCTGAGAAGGGTAACTGGCTAGAGGAGCACCACGGACTGACTAATGTCTTGGGCTGACTCTGGACTTGCTTTGTAAATCTGGTCTCTGGATCCCATTTCTTCTAGTAATAACATGGTTTGAGTGAATCTAAATTCACCCTACTAGAAAGGAGTTCTGCGCTGAGTCCATATTTTGACTTTCTTGCTCAGAGACTGTAGAAATATGACCAATGATTCACCTGAGGCTGTTGTCTATTTGGAAAAGGAAAGTCACCATCCAAGTGAATGTGTAGGTGCTAGGAACTCTCTCCCTCTCAAGACCCAGTGATCTGGAAACCCTACAGCCAATCTTAATGCTTTTCACATGAGAAACCACACCTTCACACAATGTGCATGTTGCTGGGAAGCATACCATATTATTTCTGTCTCTGTGACAAGAGGGAGAAGTACCAGTGGAGACAGAGACTGATGGGGGTGACTTCCAATTTTTCCTGGACCAGTTCCTCCTAGGATGACAGGCCCCAAGTAGAAGGAGAGGTCAGAAACTGTCCAGGACAGCAGCCTGCAACAGTGTGACCATTTCTAATTAAGGTGCCGATCCCTTCCACTGTGTCATAATATATTTTTCTTAAAAAAAAAAAAAAAAATTGGTGGGCGCAGAGTATGGGACTCTGGTAAAGGATACAGGCCAGTGCTGCATACTGACTCTGGTGAAGGGCAGAACCACACCAGAGGGTTCCTTCTACTTTTTCTGGTCTTCTAAGGGGAGGAGAGATGAAACACACTGCTTGAGCACAAGAGGCTGGAGTCGCCTAAAGCAATTTCCACCAAGAGTGTCTGGTATCATAGTGAGGTCACGGAGGGGTGGAGGGGTCATGTGACCTGAGAAGCGGTCTAGCTTCTGCCTGAATCAGGAGAAAACATAGGCATGAAGTATGGCCCAGATCCTGGCCTTCACTGTGGCAAAACTGATTCTCTTCTCATGCAGTAAAGCTACAGGCTTCAGAACCCTGAGGGATCTGTCCACGCCACACATGAAGCTACTTAACTGCACAGAACTCTCCATCTTAAAGCTCTTTATTCCTGCTCAGCAGCTAAACCCCACAGCACCCCAGGGACACAGGAAGAGCCATCGTTATTCTTTACATCTAAGAAAACCTAATCCCATGGGGCATAATCAACTTCACCCTGATCCTGAGAAAAGGGACAGCAGAGAGGAAGCAGTCACACCAAGAGGGGAGATCAGGCCAGTTGTGCCTTGCATTTCAGTTCAAGAACCCTTCCCAGTAAGTTAGAGAGCCGCGATGGCAAACCTTCACCCTTTCTTTTCCAAATCAATTCTTTCTCCTTATGGGGCTCCAGGCTGTTAAATGAGTAAGAAAGAGAGGGCCAGCGAGCTGGCTACCTTGGGGAGGGGAGTAGTCGTCTGAGTCGGTATCACTCTCGCTGCTGTCTTCCACCAGGAAGATGGGGTAGTTCCAGGACATGCTGAGGATGCCGTCAGACTCATGCAGGAGGACGTGGGCCAGCATCCTGCCATGGCAGTCCATGACAATTACCTGCCCGTCGGCCGTGCCAAACAGCACCTGCAACCAAGGACCAGAAGCCTCAACTGAGTGGGACAAAGTGCTGTGGTTTCTGGCAAACCTTGTTTGTCTCAACTGATTTTAGGACAAAATATATTTAGATTTAAAAAAAAAAAATCTGTGAAGTAACTGAGAGTGACATAAAATAGCAGACACTCAGCTGGCCATTACTGCAAGAATTCTAGACCTCTAATATTGAAAAATGAACTAACAGCAAAATGAACACCTTAGGTTGTATGGATATTTCCAAATGACACCAGCAAAATTTAATTCTCTTTTGTGTTTTTTCATTGAAGAAGGGTTAAGAAAAGACAATATTAATTTACCTTTCTGGAAAATAAAGATAAAGAAGAGATTTATTATAATTCTCTTAACTTTAGAAGAAAATGTTTAAATTTGTTGGCCAAAGAGAAAATATATACCACACAAATCACTTATAGACTCAAATCATTTTATAGACTCAAACAACTTGGGAGAAGTCAAATAGGCTGACCACACCACGAAGTGATCAGGCCAGGCTGGCTGCCTGACTAGAAAGGCTAGAACTTACACCCAGAGAAAGTTACTCGAGGCCTCTTTGTCCTTGCTTCTCTTTGCTCTTGGGCTTCTGACATAACCTCCTTACAGCAGATGGCACAGCTGGATCTTGGCACCTGGCAGTTTGGTTGCCCAGTGGGCACTCATACCATTTTTTTTGTGTGTGAAATGAATGAATTACAGTCAGTGACAATGGAAGGCAATTCTGCTGATGACTGAGACAGACTAACTGCCAGGGAAAACATGGTGCACTTAAGCAGTATTAAGTTCATAGAATTACAAAGCTGTTTTAGAAGAAACCAACTATTTATCAAATATTCTATTAATCAATATCTATATTTTAATGAGTGAACACTAAATGAAGGTTAAAATAATTTCTCCCAGAGGCAGTGATGAGTTCATTAGTGTATACTGCATAAAGGAAAAGCAGATGAAACTTCTTTGGAACACTGTGAAATTCATTTTAGAAAGAGCTGGAGTTCTAGCTGTCAATAGAATAATAAATATTCAATGGCATGGCATATCTACAAAGCTCTCATCCAGCACAGTCTCAGGGATGGAGACCTCAGGGCTCATAGACCTGCTGAATTCAGCTCTGGAAGGCAGATGTTTCTGTTTTTTTAACTTTCATTTTTATGTGGTGCTGAGGGTCGAACCCAGGGCCTTGCACATGCGAGGTGAGCACTCTACCGCTGAGCCATAACCCCAGCCCAGGGCAGATGTTTAATGTGCCTGTCCAGCAGTTTTCAACAACAATGGTAAACAGAGAATGTGTTTTCTCAAAACTTTACCTGAGATGTACAATTTACATGTTTTACAGGTGAAAGAGGTGTGGGAATCCCAATGTGCCACTAGTGCTATGGGTGAGTGCATGGAACAGGCTAGTCTACATCCTCATTTCTTCACTATGGGTGTGAGTGTGGGGGGTGGAACCCAGGGCCTCCGCATGCTAGGCAAGCACCCTACCACTGAGTTACATCCCCAGGCCTATTCACTATTTTGAAAAGGTACCTATGAACCTTCATAGTAGGTGAAAGAATTGCTTTATCACATAAGACTCTATTGATGAAAATAATTCATTAGCAGATGCCAGCAAACAATTATTCTTCAGAAGTAGTCAGGACTTACATTTACCAATTCCAACAACTTCCCAGAGCCCTCCCTGTTATGGGTCCTCCTAACACCCCCGAGTCTTCTCTTTGGCACATTTGCCATTGTTCTCCTATCTTTACTTTATGGTATTTGGTTTCCTTCCGACACCTATGCCAGACTATACGCTTCTAAGAGCATGGACTGAATGTTGTGTACCTGCCGTCAACCAAATTTATATGTTGATGGTATTTGGAGGCAGGGCTTTGGGAAAATGATTAGATTTAGATGAGGCCTTGAGAGTGGGGCCTTTGTGATAAGAGATCTGAGCTTCCGTGGCTTCTCTCTCCACCATCAACCACTGAGGGAAGGCCAGGTGAGGACACAGTGAAAGGGCAACTATCTGTGAGCAGGAATGGAGCCCTCACCTGCAATGGCTGGCAAATTGATTTTCAACCTTCAAACCTCAGAACTGTGAGGCCACCCTCAGTTGTTTCAGCCACCAGGTCTGTGGCATCTTGTTACAGTGGTCCAAGTTGAGACCTGAACCCCGTGAGCGTTGCTCATCAGTGTCTCCCGGAACCTCTCATTGTGCATGATGTGTGGTAAAGTGTGTGTGAACCAAGGGTGGGTATGTCTCTGTTCTGAGTACTGCTCAGATTTTTTTTTTTTCCATTTTAGAGAAAAAGGAACAGATACCAGATAGAAAAAACAGACATATCATTCCTGAATTCAGCATCACACTAAAGCAAAATTCAACAAAAAAAGTCTCTAGATCCCCCACCATGAATCCATACCAACTACAGCTCCCATGGAAAGATAGTCTGTGATTAAAATGGGAGGAAAATGGAAAAAGAAGCACTTGATGAAGGAAGCTACTCTGTTTTGGAACAAGTTCGTCACAGATAAATGACAAACACTGGTAAAACATGAAATCAGATTTAAAAAAATCTCCTCTTCATTATAAGTTGTTTTCATGCCTAATAACCTCCAACGAGTTAAAGCTTATGCAAGCAAAGAACTTCAAGAGAACCAGACAAAGAGTCTAAGAATAATGAATATACACATGGCAAAGGCATCGATCTCTGCTGCTTCTGCTCCCTAATCCTGGGCAATGAGCCAGCTTGAGACAGGCTGGGGCTGGGGGTCCCTTACAAGGTACAACCCACCCTTCAGGTAATCCTTTCCTGCTCCTCAGGGATGGTCCTAGGCCCAGACCCACAGCACCAGAGACGCCATTCACAGCTGACACCCTGCCAAGCTTTTCCCCAGTCCCAGACTTATACATAGAGCTGCCTCGGGGTCATTTTCCCCTGGATACGCCCAAGGCCCACTGAAGTCAACATATTCAAAATGAAGTGTGTTAGTATCTTTATCTCACAGCAAGCACACAACCAGCTCCCTTCCAGCTAGAAGTGTGGCTTGTGTTTCATCTCCAATGTCCCAGGTAATGTCTAGTATCTAACAAGTACTCGGAGAGCTCAGGTGAAGGGCTCTAGAGACCCGTCACACAGAATTAATCTCCCGCGAACCACGGTTCCCCAACACTCTGAACTTGGCTCTGGTATTGTGTGTCCGTTTCCCTGTAAACCATAAGCTTTTTGATGGCAGGTCTGTACTCCTAGCTTGTCACATGCTGCTGTCCTGACTAGATGCTCAATGACTAAAATTGATTTCCTGCCCAACATTTCTTACAAATGAAAACTTTTCCTTTCTTCTGAAAACTAGAAACCAATGTTCAAATCTTCCTATGAAACTGGTTCCTGAAACACTGTGGATGATGAATTATGTAAATTTCTGTCCTCTATTTTCATGCTGTTTCCTTTTGTGGCTTGTAGGCTCCACAGGGCAGGTACAATGTTCCTTCTGTGATGTGTACCCCGAGACCACATAAGTTGGCAGAGATGTGTGGGTCAGGCCATACCACTTCAACGTCTGTCTCTTGGGTTTATTTTATTTTCCAGCAAGGAAATTTTTAAGAGCAATGCAATTATGGTATGCATATATAATCTTTTCCTTTCAATGTAATCCATTTTAAGCTATTTTTAGATGTGATTATTTTTAAACAAACACAATTATTACCAGTAGTTTAAAATGAACCAAGTCATGAACCAAAGGCGGGTAGGGAGAGAATGCCAAATCATTAGGAAGATGTGTCTGGGAAGCAGTGGCATCTCTCCAGCACTGTTATCTTTGATATGATACTCATCTAAATTCTAGAATAAAACTACATTGAGAAATTTCAACTTCAAAAGGTAAAGTACCATAAATGTTTAGTTCTTTTGTAATGGAGTGTGAGTACCAACACTGGATCTAGTTCCTGAAGGAGGCATGACAAATTCCTACTAGAAACCTTAACTCTGCAGGTAGAAGACAGCTGAACTGGCTACGAGGATGCAGGACTGAGAGGACAGCCACAGCAACCCTCCCTCCCTCCAGAAGGAGCCTCTGTCCAAATGCTGTCAGAGGATGGCTGGGTTTTTTGTTTTGTTTTGTTTTGTTTTTTCTGCTCTTTCTTTCTTTCTTTGTTTTAAAGATCTCCATTTTGAGTTTCAGAATACTTGCCTTCAGAGGTGCTTCAAGGCCAGGTCTGACATTTTTGCAATGAAATAAACAGTTATTGAAATCAGACAGCTGAAAATTGCTCACTCAAAAAAATATTTCCTTCCCCCCCGCCAAGAGATATGAAATGTTATTTCACAGTTGACTGTAATAATCACTTCTAAATGTGTATCTTTGGACTAAACATGTAATTTTAAAGTCATCTCACCTCTTTTCTGCAGAAAAGACCACTTGAAAACTAATCCATAAAGACGAGAGACTATCCCATGTTTGACGATTTTCAGAGGAGATATACTATCTGCCTCAGGCCTCAAATTTAATTTTATTAAATAATTCCTGTTACTAGAATATTTTCTCCCCAAATCTTCAAATTCCATTGTAAAGTTTATCCAACCTTGTAAACATGTGGCAATTTCTGGGTTTTGTGAAAAGGAGCAGTCTGACCATGGAGGTGATAAAAAGTGGCCTTAGTGAGAACATCTTCAGGACAAACAGCACTAGAAGCACATGCCTCAGGAAGTGCACTGGCTGCTGAGGGACAGCGGAAAGGGCCTTTCCACCATGTGTCCTCTGGAACATGGGAATGCTCTATCTTTCCCACACCAATGACTAGGGGCGGGGGCGGGGCAGTGGGGCTAGTCCCAGGGTGACACCTACTTACCTAGTAACAGTGCCCATTCTGCCTGAGTGCTGATCTCCTACCTGCCACAAAGCTACAACATATGAACTCTCAAACCCTTCCTATTTCAAATGCTACAACTCCTTAAAATACTTCTAAATGTTTCTAAATATGATGAAAGTAACTTTTTCCC